GTTTGGGTTAAGTGGGACGTTTTGGAAATTCGTACTGCTGTGTACTAAATTTGGTACAATTTGAATTGTGAGTGAAACGAAAGAGTTGTAATCCTGAAACTTGGATTTAGCATCTCTGTTTGGGGTAAGTAAGCAGTTTTCGAAATTCGTACTACTGTGTACTAAATATCGTACAATTTGAACTGGAGGTGATCCGAAAGAGTTGGAATCCTGAAACTTGGATTTAGGATCACTGTGGGGGTGTAGGATTGGGGTATTTAGGAAGTTTTGGAAATTGGTACTACTATGTACTAAATTTGGTACAATTTGAATTGTGGGTGAACCGATAGAGCTGGAATCCTGAAACTTTGAGTTAGGATCACTGTAGTGGTGTAGGATTGGGGTATGTAGGAAGTTTTGGAAATTCGTACTACAGTGTACTAAATTTGGTACAAATTGAATTGTGGATGAACCGATAGAGTTGGAATCCTGAAACTTGGATTTAGGATCACTGTGGGGGTGTAGTATTGGGGTCTGTAGGATGTTATGGAAATTCATACTACTGTGTACTAAATTTGGTACAATTTGAATTGAGGGTGAATCGATAGAGTTGGAATCCTGAAACTTGAAACTGTGAGGGTGTAGGATTGGGGTCTGTAGGAAGTTTTGGAAATTCGTACTACAGTGTACTAAATTTGGTAAAAATAGAATTGTGAGTGAACCGATAGAGTTGTAATCCTGAAACATGGATTTAGGGTCACTGTGGGGTTGTAGGGTTAGGGTAAGTTGGAGCTTTTGGAAATTTGTACTACTGTGTACTAAATTTGGTACAATTTGAATTGTGAGTGAACCGATAGAGTTGTAATCCTGAAACATGGATTTAGGGCAGGGCTGCCAGATTTGACGATTTTTTAGTCAAAAATTGAAAAATGACGATTTGACGATTTTTGCCCAAAAATGACGATTTTTGGTCATTTTAGTGATATTGCAATATTTGGGTTCTTTTTGTTATGGCAACATCAAAAATGTATAAAGCGAAAAAAAAGTAAAAAAATATGAATATTTGGCATATGTGTGTGAGGTATACTTTGTATTGTTACAAAGCCAACAACAGTTTAAGTTTACCCAGATATATGAAAAACTACCAATCAGCTGTGCCGTTCTCTGGGTAGACAGCAACAAAACAAATAAAAATTAACGGTTGTTGTTTTTTGACACGGGCAAATAGAAGAAAATTGGTGAACGGAAAAGTTGTTATATTAAATTTAAGTTTCAATTTATACAAAGTTATTACAATTTTAAAAAGATTCGATTTGAAAGCATTTTTAAAATTGTATCTATGATATGTCCCACGTATATTAGTAATGAAAAGAATAATTAATTTTTCGATATCCTTAAAGAATTTCCACATTTTGTGAACGAAGATGAAAAACAAAAATTGGATTCAGAATTTCGCGAACTAAGGTTGTTTAATTTGGTAACATTTGTGAAAATGATGAAACCTATTTATTTCGTTTTTGGAATGCAATATTTGATTTGAAACGTGGTGATGGTTCATATGTTTTTCCTATAATAACTAAATTTGTACCGAAGGTAATGGTATTACCCCATTCCTCAGAAAATGTTGAGCGTGTTTTCAGCCAAGTAAATCTTAATAAAACGAAAAGTCGAAATTCCCCCAATAAGGCTTCAATGGAGAAATTTATACCAAAGATTATTAAAAAGTTAACAAAACAAATTGTTATAATACGTTAATTAAAACCGACATGTTGAAAATGATTAACACAAATGTTTCTTTTCAAAATGAATGACTTTATTAAAGTCGAAGTAAGATTACTTTTAGAGTGTAGGATTAATGTAGTTTTAGAAATTCTTACCTATGAGTATGAGAATTACTAAATGGTACTAAATTTGAAACAATTTGGATTTGGTTGAATCTTGAGATTTGGAACTTAGATTACTGTTGAAGTGTAGTAATGAGCTATGGAGACAACTTTGGAAACTCGAATTTATGTGTACCAATAGTAAATAGAATAGAAAATTCACTAAATTTGGAAAAATTTAAAGTTGGGTAACGGAGATAGCTGGAAACCTACAATTTAGAATTTTGGTCATTGACAGAGAGTTAGAAAGAAGGACCAAAGGGTTTTTGGTACTAAATTTAGTGGAGGTGACGGTATAGAGGTAGTCTTGATGTATAATTATGTGTTCGAAAAGTTCTAAATGGAATTACATGTGGAACCTGTACGTTTTTGCTAAGGTGTGGATTTCGGAAAATAGTGCTTATGTGTATGAAGAGTACTGGTAATAAACTTGATATTAAATGTAGGAATAGAGGTGGAATTCAGAACTATAGTACAACTAATTATTCGGTATTCACGATTTCCATATGAAATATTTTTTCATTCCCTTTCCGCATACGAAGTAGCGGGTACTTTGCTAGTATATAGATATATACATAAGAGTTGCGTTATAAATGACCGACTGGTGACGGGATTTGTGCGTAGGCGTGTGATATTACGGGCTTTTTGGAAATTCGTGCTAAAACTTTTCTGCGCTCGAACAATTGGAAGAAGAACTCTGACATTTGATATACAGCTTTGTCAATAAGAAAGGAAGTGGTATACGCGAAACAAATTTTTGGAAATTAGTATTAAAGGTACTAAAAAGTACTAAATATCATATTACAAAGAAACATGTAGGGATAGATATATGAAACTTGATATGTATTTTAAGCTATTAAAAATAGAATGAACGGCAAAAATATTTTTTGGAAATTAGCACTCAAATGTACTAAAATATTATATTACAATAGAAACGATACAAATAGAAAGCTTTGAAATTAGGACCAAACTACTCCAAAAGTGGCCTTTGCATTTGATTTTTCATATAAGTTTTTACTCGATCGACAGATCCACTTCCTGGTTACAATTTCGAAATAAAATTATATGATTTCTTTTAAATATTTATATAAAAATTTTATAATTCTTGATGTTTCTGAAGAAACAGGGTCAAGTATAGGGTGTTCTCAAGTAAGCGAATTTTACAATTAATTTTGAAAATACGTAATACAATAGAATTTTGGTTTAACGATTATGCGATTTAACGATTTCGCGATATAACGGTGGAGCAATTCCACTACATTGTGTAGCTTATATAACGATGGTCACCAAAACAGTTGTACTCGTAGTTATGTAAACATGAATATGTCTGCAAGAAAGAGAATATCGTTATGAGAAAAATATAAAAAAGATCATCGTAAAGGTGTATGTGTAAAATTTTAGAAATTCAATTTAATTATGGCCAATCGACTACTTTGACTATTGTAAAGTCTAGTAAAAATATTACTCAAAAGAAGGTATTGAAAGCAGCGTTCGAAAATAAACATTATGGTACCGTTCCATAGTGTTCTGTACCATAACAAGGTGGATAGGTACACTAAAATAACGTACTGTACCGTTACACAAACACTAAAAATATTTTAAGCGTTACTGTTCCGGAGCACAACGAAAATCTTAGCGTACCAGCTGCGGTACACTAAAAAATTGTAGAGTACCGACAGCGGTACTCTAAAAATCGTAGTGTACCGACTGCGGTACATTAAAATCGTTGAGTTCCACTGGTCAGAACACTAAAAATGTTGGTGTTCCACTGTTCGGAACACTAAAAATGTTAGTGTTCCACTGTTCGGATCACTAAAAATGTTAGTGTCCCACTGTTCAGAACACTAAAAATCGTTGTGTTTCACTGGTCGAAACAATACAAATCGTAGCGTTCCACCTCTGTTCTGTTTTTTGAGGTAAAATGAGATCAAATAATAAAAAATAATAATGAATATAACTTTATTAGCAATTACAAAAGGTAGGTATTTTGGCCAGTTTTTGTGACAAAATTATACAGCTTTGGATAAAATTTTCATTAATTTACACAGCGAACGTGATTTTTTCCATAATATTAGGAGAAAAATGTTTTCTTAAAAAAATTATACCGACATCCATCTATGATTCATACTTTTAGGAAATTTTAGCAAAAATATTCAAAATTTGGTTATTGTCACACAATCAACATAATTATTACGTGCTTATTCATGAAAAGAATTGTACGAATTACGTGGATATGAAAAAAGTAGTTTTATGATATTGGGATAAATATTACAACACCACATACAAGTACCATATAAAAAACGAATTTCATATATTATTGGAATATTGTGATTTTTGTACAGGTAGTCTTATGCCGTTACGAGATGGCCGTCACTAGACGCCCCTTTTTTAGTTATAAAATATTTATTATGTTAAACTGTTGATGCTAATATAATATTACTAATTTTTAATAAAATATAAACAAATGCAAATTTAAAAAGATGTTATATTTATTAAATCTATTGAAAACCATAAAAATATAAATTTTATTCAAACAAAAAATAAAAGATAAATACATCATTTGGTTTTCCGACAAATGGAACACTACGATTTTTAGTGTTCCGGCCGCGGTACGCTACGATTTTTTAGTGTTCCGACCGCGGTACACTACGAGTTTTAGTGCTCCGACAGCGGTACACTAAGAATTTCGTTGTGCTCCGGAACAGTAAAACTACAATATTTTTTAATGTTCGTGTACCGGAACACTAATGCTAAAATTTGTTTATTTTTCACAAAAGGATTCACTACCTACCTAGTTGCTGTTTTCTTATTCACCTCAAGCTGTCCGACCTTGTATTGTTGTATGATGGTAGCTACTAAATCGAAAAAAATGTCAAAATCGTTCTCAGAGTGCAAGTAATACAAAACGTTCTGGAAACATGTAAAAATGTCAATATTATATGGCAATACTTCGAAAATCAATCAGAAGTTAACATTGCCGGTTACAATTTTTTCTATGCCAAGTTTTCGTGTAAAAAGTTAACGAAGATAATCCCATTTTGGTAAAAGTAGTAGATTCCTTAATTACAATTTTTAAACTAGTGAAAATACAAAATACGAGTATTATGCATATTATTTTATAACTTTGTAATATTTCAGGTGGTTTTGGTGTTGACTTTTCCTATGATACCGATACAGTAGAAGAAGGTATCAACAAAGTTGCAAGGGGACTAATCAAAACCGGAGTAACCTCATTTTGCCCAACAATTGTAACATCCCCAGTGGAAACATATCGTAAAGTATTACCACGCATTCCCGAAAAAACCAACGGTGCCGGAGTCCTAGGTGTTCACCTTGAAGGACCATTTATAAACATAAATAAGAAGGGAGCTCATCCCGAAGAATGCATAAAGACATTGGATAATGTAATTTGATATTAATATGATAAAAATTGGATACATTTACTTGTTTTATTTTAAGGGATTTCAAGGCCTCCTTAATGTCTATGGCACACTGAAGAATGTCAAAATCATAACTCTTGCACCGGAACTGGAATCATCGGACAAAGTAATTAAACAACTAACGGACCAAGGAATAACAGTTGCTGTGGGCCATTCGACAGCTAGCTTGATACATGGTGAAGTAGCCGTACAAAATGGTGCATCTTTAATAACGCATTTATTCAATGCCATGTCAAGTGTAATTTTCTATTTTTTACATATACAACGAAATCTAGACGGGACTGTAGATTATTTTTTTATTTATTCAAAAATATGGAAAGATTAGCATTTATTTTTTAATATTCAAACGATTATAGTTTCATCACCGAGATCCGGGTCTAGTTGGTCTTCTCGCTTCGGATGCTATACCTAAGGATCAAACTGTTTATTTTGGTATTATATCAGATGGTGTTCACACTCACCCTACTGCCTTGCGTATTGCTCATCGAACCCACCCACAAGGATTATGTCTAGTTACAGACGCCATATCTGCCCTTGGATTGGAGGAAGGCATCCACCATATTGGTCAATTTAAACTTGAAGTAAAGGATTCCAAAGCATTTGTTGCCGGTACCAACACACTCTGTGGCAGTATCGCTCCCTTAGATGAATGTGTACGCATTTTCAGGAAAGCAACAAGTAAGTCCATATAGTAAAATATACACACAAGATATCAATCCAATTTATAATGTTTCAGACTGTTCGACTGTATACGCAATCGAAGCTGCTACTTTACATCCAGCAAAATGTTTAAAAATAGAAAAGTCAAAAGGAACCCTTGACTTTGACTCAGATGCGGATTTTATAATTTTGGACGATGATTTGAACGTCTTGTCAACGTGGATCGATGGCCAATGTGTGTATTGTAATAATAATGTCACAAAGAAAATATTTGACTGTAATGGTTCACGTTTAAATTGATTGTTTCCCCAGGAGTGTCTTAGTCAACATACATATTTACTATGTATAATATTGTTTTTATACCTATTATACCTTCTGTAATAAATGTTTTATTGTTTTTTTAAAATCATAACTCAAGACGTTTTAATCTTATAAAATATATCCAATTAAAATTCCTAATAATTGGGTTTTCATTCTTCGACCATTTTCGAATAATGCTTAGTAAAATTCTCTTCAAACTTGAGGTTGGCTTTTTATCATTATTGTGTATAGTTTTTATGTTACTGTGTGCCACTGTTTGTAATTGAATTAATAATAGTACCTTGTTTGTATTTATACGAAGTTAGTTTCTTATTGTGTATTCATAGTATGTAATCAGGAACTAGGTAACATAGTATGTACATGCGTAGATTTGAATAATTAATAAACTTATACATGGAGTCGGTCAAAATATGTATGTCCATCTTTTAATTAGTAAACTATTACCCCAGATTGAAACTGGCATAAATAATTTTAATCGATATATACAATTTTTGAAAACAGATTATAAACAGTTCAGATAAGAATGATCAAAAAGGCGCATAATATTTGTTAAAACCTAAAATGTGTTTTTTGTATTTTTAATTATGTTATATTTAAACTACAATTTGAACAACGTATGTTTACAGTGGTATTTATAACCACAGATAAACTGTGGTGTGTGAATAAGCTGAAGAAAAGCAAAACTTTGTAACCGCAGACAACTTCAGGAGACAATTATTCTGACGTAAAATCATCGTTACTTGTTGTTTTTGGAATCGCACTTGGCCCTTTGTTCAGATTATCGTATAGGAAAAATTGTTTGAATTGAATAGGTTGTTAGGAATTCATTTGCCAAGACAAGAGAAAAAAACTGAAAATAATAATTAACTTTATGATTAAGGCTATTTACTCAATAAATGTTCAATATGTTACAATTCAAAACAAAATATGTGTTAATTAGTTTGTAAAGAGACATTTTTTTAAAGAGGTGATGAGGAGAGTGTGTTTCTTGTGGCGTTTCCAATGAAATTAATAATTTTGGAAACCATAGAAGGGAAGGCAAATGGGGGAGTAGCAATGCTAGTATTCCTTTATCAAGAAAGAAAAAAACTCACTGTTGAACCTAAGAAAAACTGAAATTAGAGTTATGACAGGAGTCATTACTGGTTATAGCAATATCAGGGGCATTACCAGTAAGAGGGACCATGATTACAGCAGACTCTGTGACGGCGAGGAGGAGACGCAGACAATTGAACATCTCCTGTGTCGCTGTCTAGTTCTGCCCTACAGACGGCACAGATTAGTGGGTGCTCACTTTCCACCGTGTCTAAGCTTCCTTTAAACTATGGAACTTACTTTAATCTACAACATCATCAGAAACCTGTTTTTTGTTTTTTTTTTTTCAAAATTGCTACAACCACCGACGCTAATTACTAACTTGTCTTCTCTATCCCCTTTCTCCCTTATAGATCACAATGGACCGGACGGTCTCCCAGTGCTGCAGTTACAGTTAGTGACTGCACATCCCCAAACTTAACCTAAAAATGCGTTTATAATAAGGAGTTTAATTAAAAAAGTTAGAGAATATCGGTCTAATTAAAACCCAAATATTTAATGAAAAAATTGAAAATATTTCCTAATCTATTAGCCCTTATTTGAAATAAAAGCAAAATACTAGTGATATCCCTAATAAATCGCCTACACTACTGTATTAAAATTTATGTCAACTTCTTGATATCTGTCGCTAGGACTTAACGACTACTTTATTTTGGTTAATAAACGAAATTATAAACAATTTCTTTATTTTTCTTTATTTTATTTTATTCATAAAGGCAAAGAAAATGTACGTTTTATAAAAAAACAATAAGAAACCACAATTTTCCTTGCCGATTATTGCAAAAAACGAATCCATATCAATGTATTTAGCATTTCTACTGCCGTTAATATACAGACAGGCTGGTTGTCTATTTCGTCTCGATGTCATCAATCTTCATGTTTTGTTATATGCACGCTGCATAGCCTGACATTGAAGCTGCGTGAGAATACTCTTTGTACACTGGAGAATTTTAAATTGTTGATGAAATTGTTAAATTTCAACGAATACTAACAGACGTGATAGTACTTCCTAACCGAAATATAATATAATAAAACTAAACAATTGTTTTTTGAGTGAATACAACTTTATTAATATTTAAATATGGAACAAATACACATTTTTTTCTTCTCCAAAGGTTACAAATGTTAATCATAAAGTGTTAAGAATACAATTGTGTATGTATTATGTATACATAATTCTAAATGTATTTTTATATATGTATATATATGAGGGGAGGAGAGGCTGTATATAGTATTTTGTGTGTTTTATTTTAATAGTTTTTTTTTTTTTTTTTTTTTTTGTATAATTAAATGTTTTGTGTAATTTTTAAAATATGTAAAGATATAATATATATATTTTGTTAAATGTATATAATATTAGTAAAGACAAGACAATATTTCTTGTATTTCTATGTGGTTTTAATACACTTTCTTTGTAAAACCTTTGTTATTTTTGTTTGCTTTCGCTTTCAAAAATATATATATTTAAGTTATTTTTGGGTTTCATTAAAAATTTGCAATAACTTTTTTGTTTTTTTTTATTTATTTGTTTCTCTTTATTTAAAATATTTGGTGTCTAGTATTGGTAAATTGTGTGTTCTTTTTTTATTATTTTCTTTGTTTCGATACAGTTTTGATATAAAAAATAAACAAAAACTGTGTCAAACCCTTATTTTGTTTTAAAACAAACAAAAGAAACTATCCATTACTAAAAAATAAAGGCATTTCCTTAAAAACAAAGACGTCTAATGTCAAATATAAATGTATAAGTTTTTTTTTTCTTTTTAAATGTGTCTTTTTTATTTTTTATATATAAATTCGTTTTAACATGGACTAAGACACAGCAAAACTGTAATTTTTATAAGCAATAAAACTCTAATTCGAAATATTTCCTATACTGGTTGTCATTGTTGTCGGGTTTCCGATATCTTTTAGATTTTTTTATTTCCTTTTTGGCAATTTTTGTTTACAAAATCTTAAAGTTTTGAAAAAAAAAACGAATAAATATTGTTTCCTTATAGGATATGATAAAAAGACAAAACGAAGGCAATCGTAACTGAAGAATTTGAAAAGTCACAGTTTTCGAGCAGATTCGAATATGCATATGAGTTATACTTTCGCTTGAGCGTGTTAATACCCATTTAATAAAATTAGAAACACATATACATAATTTTTTTGAACTTTCCACTTCAGTTATTTGTTTTATTTGTATTGAATTTAGGGAAAACATTATCGCGGAGAGATAAAATGCCTACAGATGATAAATGAGTTCTTATTTTCACAATTTTTTATATTTTTTTATTTTTAATACTTCAAAAACTGTTGATATGTTAATTTTTATAAGAACTTCTAAACTTCAAATGCTCTATTTGTTATTATTGTGTTTTAATTGTTGTTGGTTTTCAGTTGCTTGTCGGTTGTCAACATTCACCTAAATAATATTCTATTAGCTGGTTTTGAATGAATTTGTTTTCTTATTTCTTTTGTGGTTTTGTTTTTAATACATATCCATAAATATATGATTTTAAAATAATTCGTGTATATGATTTAGTTTCAATTTCCCATTATTATAAGAATATTAAAAAGATTTGTTGTTCAATAAATTTAAAAATATTGGTTCATTGCAACATTCCGTTTATTAGTTGTTTCTGTTTATTTCTTTGTATTTTTCTGTCTAATTGATGTTTTGGTTTTTGTTTTGTTTTTTATTCCCATTTTATATTTTCTTCTTAAAAAATAAATAAAAGTGGCCAAAGCTTATTGTCAGAAGCGTCTTTAAACTATTTCACTATTTCGTTATTTGTTCATATTTTTGTTGTTTTCTTATACACAAAAAAAGTAGACATTGTTGAAAAATAACATACTTTCCTGTTCTTTTTATGTAAAATATGTAAATTTGTAAAATATAAAAAAACAATGCCATGAACAAAAAGAATTGAAAAGGCGACAGTACAGTTTTGTTTTTCCTCTATAGGGATTTCTATTTCATATTGAATTTTTCATTGTGTCTTACACATATATATATATAGAAAATACAATAAACACTATTAATTTCGTTAATATTTTTATTCGGTTTCAAAATTATTATACCATTTTGCAATATTTTGGTCAGTATGTTAACGATTTTTCATTAAAGTAATTTATATAATTTTAGTTATTTTGTTTTTTTTTTCTTTGTATTGAGTTGGGAACTTTAATGTTTTGGCTATACTAAAATTTCGAAAATAATTGACCAATACTTCTCCGTAGCAGTTAAAAATTAGAGTCTGGATTAAATCATAAATTGTTGCTGTCATTGTCATTCGTATTGAAACTTGATTATTGGAGAACATCCCAGATAGTTTTCTAAATTCGAAATGGTGGAAAAATATGTTAAAAAATTAATAAATAAATTTACAGACCATAAGTTTTATGGCTGTAGATATTTTGATTCTAATCAATTTTCCATTTAAAAATATTACCTGTATCACTAAAACCAGATTAGAAAATAATTCTGTTAGAGAAATAGGAAAAAGCCCTTTTTGTACGAATTTCTAGAATTTTTAACACCTTACCGCCTTCTCTTAAAACATTTGACTCTTCCTTAAAATGTTATCGAACTCATTTATACGATTACTTCAACCTCAATTCATCTTAAATTCATGGGTTTTGCTTATTTGTTTGTGTTTTTATTGCATAACTGATTTCAACATTTAAATAAATATAACTATAATAAATTATATATTTTTATATTGATAATTGTGATATATTAATAAGATATTAAAACCTGTAAATTGAAATTAGTGGTTGAGAGTAGATATAATATTGAAGTCCTTTGCCCTATGTGATAGGTCGCTACATCAAATAATGGAATAATAATAATAAATGTTTTTGAAGTACCATGGTTCTGAACCCCTCCAACTGAA